CTGACTTTCAATAATATTTTGAATTTTTCGTATTTTCATCCTAATTTGGAAACCGTCAAATATTTCGTTGAGTGTGCAATTTAATACAGCGATGTAAATTACCATTAATGTTGCTGATACTCCTTGCATTTAAGTACTAAGTTGAAAGCCAAAATTCCAAATCTACGTAGATATGATGTACGTACATGTCAAACTTTTAAAAAAGAATTTTAATTTTCCCGAAAATTCCCTGACTTTTCTCTAATTTCCATGACCGTTTTCAATTTCCCTCCTTGTTTTCAATATCCTTCCTTGATTTTCAATTGTGGCGAAACTATTTTTACATGCGCCAATTGTTGAAAATGCATAAGGTCGATTTGACGCATGCAGTCCGACACGTACTAAATTTTCACCAGCGCTCTTATCAAAGTGGCATATCTAAATAGGCAATCCGTCTCTTTCCAGTAATGCGCGTTAAGTCTATATTTCCCCGTCACAAATATAATCGCGCCAGGGCCTCTCGCTGTGTTTGAAATCGTCGCCGCGGCGGCTACGTCCTTCGGATAGGGCATGTTTACGAAAGCGATTTATCGAGTAGAATTCGCGGAAATCAGATTAGCCCTTCGCGACCCGACGCGGTATTTTTCAAGTCCGCGCGCGTTAAACGGTTTCCTCTCAACAATTAAATCTCCACTTTCGCGCGACTACGTAATAAAAATGACAAATGAACGCAATGATAGATAAATATTCGAATCGAACCGGAATAAGAGCTCGATCGGAGAAAGATAGCTGCGGTGGCAATTCGGACCGCGATGTAAAAAGAAAGGTGTACCGTTCATATTGATGCGCGGTTGAAGAATGAATTTCTGGTTGAATCTAATTGGCTGTTCCAGCAATACTAGCACTATTATTTCTACCCGAGTCGAAATTTTGCTCCACTTTGAACCTTAGTTTTAGCTAGTCGTATGTAGAGACTCTAGAGATTTATAATAGATTCTAATCAAATGAATATTGAGCTCCATTGAGCCTGTAAATGCAGTTATTGAAAAATTTCCTATTTTTATAGATTAAAAAAAGTTTTCCAAGTACACTGAAAGAGAAGATTGGCTGAATATGGCACAGCATTTTCAATTGGCTGTAGCAGCCAATCTTTTTTTTTTTTTCAGTGTAGAAGCTGTAAATTAAGTAATATTAAAAGAAGTTCTATTTGACTGTTTAAGTATCAAAACAAGTTTAAAAGATTTGAGGAGGTTAAAAGAGATTGAAAGTAGATAAAAATTTGATTCAGGATATGCAGGAAAATGTATTTTGGGGTAAATTTGATTGTTTCCGGTATTGCTATCGCCGTTACGCGCAATGTTACACTTCTTTTTTCACATCATGATTTAGACGAGCACGGTTGTTTCCGTTTTCCATCAGCAAGAGACAGTGTGACGCTGAAAGAAAAGATTGGTCAGTGCAGCAAATTGGATGATTAAACATGGCGTAGCATTTTTAATAGCAACCAATTTTTGATTGCGTTAGCCAATCGAAATCCTATACTGACACTGCTGACATTAGGCTAATACAACCAATAATTTGCTGCAGCAACCAATCTTTGCTTTCATCTTTGTTTAACATTGGCAAATAAGGATGCAACGATTCAACGGTGTAACTGCGTTACACCGTGTCTCTTGCTGGAAAACACCCTCCGTCATCGACCTTCCGTCGTTGAATGATAACTCGCCCTCGGCCGCGCGGGACGCACTCACTCACGATTGTCGGCGTTGCATTTCTCGGTCACAAAGAGCACGATCACGAGAGTCCTCGGCCGACGACGCTCACCTTGACCAGGCAACGCGCCTCGATCGGTGTGCGAGTCGCGCCGCGGCGCAAGTGCAACCGCGTGATCACAACAGGTTTTCATTGTCGAGCCGCCCCAAATAAATCTCGTCTCCCTTACCGATAAAAGCGATAAAACTTTCGATGAGAGTCGTCGTGTGCGAAAAGATAGAATATATCGAATTCGTAGACTTGAATGATTTCGCATTAGGCGCGCTTGAAAAGATCGCGTCTCTCGCCAAGTTCCAAGTGCCACGGCAGCTGTTTCGCGGCTCAATTGACTTTTAATGAGACATAAACATGTGTAATACTCGCGATGAATGGCGCGAGGGGGGAAATTTTCAGCGATAAAATTAGACGATAAGATATTTCCTTTTTTGTAAGTGAAACTTGAAGGAAGTTTTGATTCAGGGTTTAGTACTTCGAAGGTATTTAAAGTTGAATATTAAAAAGTTAGTAAGATAGTTGCAGCGTCGTATTGAGTTTCCGTTTTGTGAGAAAAAGTCAATTCCAGGACTGGTCCGACGAATCCGTTGAGTAATACGAAGAGAGTTCGACGCGCCTCGTATGTTACCTTACCGCTGAATTACGTCGCTATGAATCGGAGGACGAAACGACAATCGGATTATTTCCCTTCTAGATTCTACTGCGTATATCTGTGAGAAGGTTATAGTTTAGACCGTCGCGTCGGAGGGTAGCTCGAAAACTTATCGTTTTGTGCGTTTCGTCACTTTGCTCGCCGCGATAAATTAAAGACCGATTAGATGACCCAAACGGCGCGGTGGATATTACGTGATTGTGTCTCGCGTATATATCATCACGTGACTCTCTCTCCTTTCCTTCCTTGTGCCTTCTTGTCTCACTCGAAAAGGAAAAAGGAATATTTTGTACAAACTGCGATGCTCGTCACATTATAATCAATTCATCTGCCATTCGTATGTTATTTCGAAGCAATAAATAGTGAGTTCAAGCAAATGGTCCGTATTGGGTTAATAACAAACATTTGCCGGAACGTTTAATTATCGCAAAGTGTAACTGGCAATCATGTCAGTAACAAATTAATTTAATTTTATATATTTCGGATAATTACAAGATACAATCACGAATCAATGATGAACGACGATCAATCGTACAGCTATCGTTACCGTAAACGATATTGTAAATAATTGACTATAAATGCTGACATACAGGATAATGCTATTACAGCTTAATTAACTGTTTTTGTCTTATTCTATCATTTATCAGTGTATCAAATTATTTCAAAAAAATTTTCAGTTATGACGTTTATGAATAATATTCTTCTCCTGTATGTCATTAAAAATACTGATGCGAGAATTCACGCTTTTTTATATCTACACTACAAATATTCAATTGATGATGCATACCTGTGTAATAAGCTACATAATGTCTAACAACACTCTGTTTCATCCTTTAAATCACACGTGGATTCGTCAGCATATTTAATCATCAACTTCCGTCTAATTTATATTACAATTATCACAAGTAGACGTGTTAGGGGGAGGAGGGTGGGTGGAGGAGGGAGGGGGAGGGAGGGAGTAATTGCACCCAATCTACGATTATTTTTCTCGGCGTCTTGGTCTGTATTCGTGTAGTTTTTTCCTCTTTTAAAATTATTCCCTCATTAAAGCGCGATACGCTGTATATTCAGTTTAAATAAAGTGGTTTATACAATACAATCAACGCTACCACTTTCTTTGCATTTCCTCCGTATCGATATTCATAGCGCGAATATATATATTTTGTTCCAGAACATTAATTAACATTCTCCTTCTTCCATAGTAAAGTGTTACATAATAAAGAGATTTAATCATTTCAAGATCCAATTTTATGATTACTTTCTGAGAGCACGAAGCTTACTGTTACAGTGGAATTACTTAATTGTACTAGTCTCGCGTTTATCTCAAATTGGTTTCTAACTTTTTGCGGTTTCTTTTATTCATTCGCCCGCCGTTAGGATCTCGGATGTACGAATGTCTTGCCGTGTTCACTTAACGTTCCATCCGATTCATATAACTTTTGCTACATCATTTTGCACAGTGCCGATGCTCATGATGGGGATTTGTAGTAAGTTACGTCTCTCTTTCTCCCTCTTTTCTCCTTATACGCTTTCGCTTGTTTTCGTCTCGTGCAGGAACCGCGAACACGCGACTTTTCTCTCTCCGTCTGACGTTGCGCTCAGAGAATTTCGTACATCAACTAGACGTTGACCGACGGACAGCAAAACTCTTAGGTCCCCCTTGATACTTCTGGTTCACCCCACGCACTTCGTTTCTCCTCTCTCTCTCTCTCTCTCTCTCTCTCGTTTTTCTCTTTCTCCCTCTCTCCCTTTAGGTCTTCCAACATTAAACACTGTCTCATTCAATCAAGCTACGCGTTCGACCGCAGACACACACGAGCTTTGCACGGAACACGTGTCTAACTAGCATTGTTAATCGCAGTCGGAAGAACACTTCTGCCTGTAGTCGTCGGAGCGTTATAGTTGGATCGTGTAACTGTCCCGGTATGCATACGTGCACACGCGAGCATGGGGACAGGCAGCAGAGGGAGGGGGTGAGAGATGAGTGAGAGAGAGAAAGAGTACTCGAATAAAAGATACGAGAGAAAAATATAGATACTGAAATCAAAGCAGAGTTTTAACGAATTTCAATTTTCCAACGGCGTATCACGTGCCACGTACGAAGGTACAGAAATAAAAATTCTCGTATTCACACACGCGTCACCATCGAGCGATCGAAATCATCGAAATTATACATTACCGGAGTTTGAATGGATCTTCGGAGAGGCGGAGAGACATGGACGGAGTGCAGAACGCGGGGGGGGGGAGGGAGGGGGGAGAGAAGGGAGGTCGGCGGGAAAATTCGAAACCGCGTGCGGCGCACGCGATGACGTCGCGTTTTGCCGAAACGTGGCCGCACAGGTGGCTACCGGCGCCTGTCGCAGACATGAGGGATAAAATTCGACGGACCAGACGAGCGTGGCGGAGGAGGGAGAGAGAGAGGGAAGGAGGGAGGGAGAGAGAGAGAGAGGAGGCTAAATGATACAAAGCCGGACGCGCGCTTATCCGTGCTCGCCGGCGAATCTGTCTCTGCCGAGTGCGCTTTTTACGAATCTAAATGTGTGCGTGTGCGTGTGCGTGTATCTGTGAGACACGCGAGTGCGTGCGTTACGATGGTACTTACCGGAGTTGTAATATTCCTTAAAGTAGCGCGTCGCCGCACGTTGGACGATCGAGTAATACAAGTTCACGTACGACGTCGACTGGTTCTGCGCCGAGAGCGCCATTTACACTGTATTATCTCCGCGCGCGGGTCACCGTGTATGCATATAAATATGTAATATCGTGCGCGTGTAGGTTTCACGCGCGCGTACGCGGATCACGACGCGCGTGTGGCGCGATATAGTAAAGCGCGGCACGGCAACGTGCGAGAGCGCGCGGCGCGGCGCGACGCGGCGCGGCGCCCGGTCTCGTCGGCTTGCTCTTGCTCTTGCTATGCTGTCGCACGGCGACGATACGTCCTCCTCCTTCTCCTCCTCCTTCTTCTTCTTCGTCGCCTCTTTTTTCTTTTTTCTTCTGCCGTTCCTGCTGTTTCGTCTCCTGTCTTATCTCTCTCTCGTCGTAATCGTCGTAGTCACCGTCACCGTCGCCGTCGCCGTGGCCGTCGCCGCGCCACCCGACGCCTCGC